TTAAAAAAAAAAAAAAATGAAAAATGCAAGGAAAATGCCAATTTTAGCCAAATGCACACTACTGCTCGTATATATCGGACTGTGCAACTTTGCCTTACGAATTTTTATACGCCATACAAAATCGAGGTTTAAAAAGCTGCAAAATTGATTCATTATACATAATTTAAACCATGGCCTTGGAGTATATGTGCAGAAATAGTATTGCATTTGGAAACTTTGGAGTATTTACTGCTATGGATACTCAAGTGGAAGATAAGGAAATTGTGGTAATAATGTTTGCCATTGCTGTAAATGATGTGGAATTGGATATCTATTAAATGATTTGCTCTCACTACTATCCGCCACCCTGCCTGCCTGCCTGCCTGCTTGCCTACTTTTTTAGAATTTTCAATACTTACTGATTTCTTATTTGAACTGATACAAGAAAAATTGAAGACTTTTTGCAGTAATTACAAAATTTAAACAGTGGTTGTTACATTATTTAAGATTTATATATACCAGTAGATGGTAATTCCTGTTCTTATAGATACATGAACAAAATTTAAGTGTTGATTTTTATACATTTCTATGCTCTGTTAATAATTTTTGGTAATATATGGAACGTAAGTATTACAGAATGAATATAAAAAACAAAAGCTTAAAGTTTTAAATAAGAATTCTTTTAATATTAACAGTATACTCAAATAACATTATGTTGAAAGGAATTCATTTTATTATCTTTTTATATCAACTATACTGTTAACATTAATGATAATTTGTTATAAAAATTAATAAATGCAAATCATTTATTTCTTATATACATATTTTTAAGCTTAGTATTATTTTATGCTAGCTAATAAATTTGATCTGCGTGCGGTATTTTGAAACAGAGCTCTAATTAACTGTTTAACTTGGGATGCTGTAAATTCTCGTGCAAGTGGTCCTTTACCGTTGTTCCATCTAACTTCAATTTCTTTCAATGATGCACCCAATACTTCAATTAGCTCTAAAAATTTGTCCCATTTTCTAACATGTTGATGAATTTTCTGAAGATCCTGAAACCACAATATTATTCTTGATATTATTGACATGACGTAATATCATTCCAATTTAATTTTACAGGAGCTCCACTTTACGAAATTCCTAATGAAATAGTATTTTAATAAATTAATTTTAATGTAACTTTTTTATATAAATTGATCTATAATAAAAGTTTTTAGTATATTAAAACATATATCTTTTCGGCATAAACTCACCGGAAATATTTGTGGTGCACGTTTAACGATCATATTAAATAATGTTACTAATTCGGTTGCAACATCATCAAATACTGGGAAATATAATACACGAAAGAAATATAAACTGACCAACAGCTCTACAATAAATATTCACAGGTAACACATCTAGCAAAACAGTTTTCAATAATTCCAGCTGTCTAATGCACTGTCTTACTGCACGCTCAGTGCTAGGATGTAATTCTGACGTTCGACTCAATGCTGATAAACCTTATTTTGGAATTTAAATTATTCATTACTTATACAAAAATAGTAGGTATTATATACCATGATGTACAAAAAAATTTTTAATATTAACCAGATTCTTTGAGAATATCGAAAATGATATTCCGCTGATACTTCATATGCTCTAAAAAACACGATGATCCGACATCTCTTAATATTAATACTTGATCCGCAAAAGTTAAATTAAGATGATGTAAGGATTCTGGTAATTTGTCTCTATATTCGTGCCCCAAAGTGAGAAGATGATGCGCGAGATACATACAGTTGTTATGAAACATAGCTAAATAAAAAAAATGCATAGGAATAATATTAAAATAAGTTTCATTTTCATTTATTTGCGATGCCCATTAAGTTATTAGTTTCTCACCAACTTGTTGTGGTATAGTTTCTAAAAACTTTTGATGATGTTCAGGTACTAATCCTGCATACATTTCGAAAATATTTCTACATGTGTAAAATAACTGAATCGCGCAAGAATCCGAACTGTTACAAGCTTCATCCAAGATATTTTTCACAAGATCTAACGTTTCTTTTGCACTCTTGCTAAAAATTATTATATTTGCAATATAAGTTCCTTTTTTAACTTAATTCAAAATTTTTTGAGTAGTACCTTATCTGACATTTAGGAAGCTGAAATGTATTATAACTTAATTTTTCATCCGCCTTTATTTCATTGTAATCATCTGCATTTGCTTGAAATTCAAATGTCTTCTAAAATGTTAAGAGGAAATTCAAGTTACATCACATACATTTTCTAACATTGTTATGTATTAAATGAACTTGCCTGTGGTTCATATGTAATGCAATCATGTAAATCTTTCTTCATAATACTTCGCGCTTTTGCTAATAAATCCTGGCAAATTTTTTTTATAAATACCTTATCGATATTCTTCGTATATTCCGATAAAAAAAGCTGTTCGTTTGTAATAAAGCCTAAAACATTAAATATCCATTGTTATAATTGTACTTAACTACAAAAAAATAAACAATCTTACAGATTTCCTACCGATTTTGACTAAGAAGTATTGAAAATCATTGATTGCTTGAACAATGGGTGTAAAGTTTTTTAAGTCAGCGCTTGATGTTGGTGTAATTCGTGAAATACAATCATTCGTCAATGATGTTGTCAATCGTTCAAGCAAATGAGGCTGTATTTCTTTTAGGAATGTTTTGTCCTCATATATTGTAAATTTAAAATGCTGATGAAGAAATTTAAATAACAGTTCCAAATTGTAGAGCACGCTTTTATAACTGGGCGATTTATTTTTGTTCAATATTTCAACAGAGAAAATTTTCTCATCGATTACATATACGGAACAATCGTCATTAATAATTGGACTAATCATGTAATCCATAAGTGTTGTTGAGAATGTATGTAAATTACTTGAAAGGTTATCGATTCGGTGCAAACCCTGAATTAAATCCTCCATGTCATCAAATTCATTTTTTACGCTCAACGTGATGACTTTTGCATCCTCGTCACCAATGCCGGTCCAACAAATTCGTTCGTACAATAACGATGTAGTATCGGATAAAAAAGATGTATAAAGATTTAAATATTCTTCCTCGATTGCTGTGTAAATATCGAGATCGCGTAAATCAGTCTGTGGATTGTGTAAAATGGCTTGTATGCGACATAATATTTCAGCTGCGTCTACGTATCGTTTTTCTTCTTGACAATTTTTTACAGAATTTATGTATTCATGTAGAGTTAATAGTTGATTAGAGATCTGTAGCATAATGTTTGATTCTTTTAATGCTTGAGAAAGATTTTCTAATTCTTTTGTGGAACCAGATAATTCTATTTTGACCTAGAATGAATAATATAGTATAATGAAACTATATATATATCTTTTAAGATTAAACTTATTAAACATACTTGATCATCTATTCTTTTTTGCAATGCGTTCATCTCCTCAAGTAATTTTTCTCCTTTTGATACCAAATGTTGATCTCTTGTGAGTTTTGACGTAAACTCAACGTAGTTATCATCCATAAAATCTTTGACATCATATTTTAATTTTACTATTTCTTTCTGTATTTCTGATATTTTTTCATGTAAATTAAGTTTCTCTAACTTTCCTAATTGGACAAACAAAAAACAAGTTCAAGATTTTTAAAGAACATATATATTTCTTATTTTAGCAATGCAAAAGAACAGACACTTTTACTTGAAATTTGTCGTAGTTAATTACATATTTCAATTACTAATGTTGATTATATTTAAGTATTTTAATTTGCATACATACCTGCTGTAATCAATACATCAGTTAAAAATGATGTCATTTTGGCGGGATTTGTATATATTTATCACAATTAAGAATCAATTAATTGTTCTACTACTAACGTAATATTAGATATAATCATCTTACGCTTATATAGTAATATTTATACAATAATAAAAGGTAAAAAATGGAATAACCTACACTATAACGATTTATATTGTATCACAGGTTAACGTAGCAGCTGGCAGTTAGTTTGTCAAAGCGACATCTGTTACCGTTAAGTAGCGCCACCATACAATTATCGCCGGCTTTCGTCTTTTGAAAGCTCGAGAAAGTAGTAAACTGTAAAAACTTCTCATTTATGATAAAAACAAAACATTATTTATATTTTAAAGATTTTTGTCATTAGTTTTATAAATATTAATGTAAAATGTTCTACAAAATATTCTAGTTTACATACTGTTTTAAAATGTTTTATATGCTCCGAAAACTATATCCTATTTGTGAGATATTTTACTTGTCAAGCTTTGAACTATTTAAAGATATAAATAAGCTATTAATATTATAAAAATTATGTAGATATTAGAAATATTATTTATAGATATAAATCAGTGTATTTAAATACCTAAGATAATAAGATAATATATGAATATGTTATATTTTTTTTTCTTTTACATAAATTATTTAAATGCATTCAAATTAGTAACTTCGTGCAATTCAAAATTTATATAAAATAAAGTAATATAATTGGTATAATGAATCCAGAGATATCCTAAAGTCGTGACGTTCAAGAGACGAAGACAGGTTTTCCAAGAAGGAACTCACCTGTTTCACAACCTGCGTGACGTATATACCGCACCGTGTCACGTGACAAGCTTTACCTTTCAACGTAGTAAGTGGTAGTAGTAACAATACTATAGTGTTTTATGGTAGGCACGGTAGTAAGCCCGGGGAACGACGCGAGGTAAGGCGCGACCACTAGAAAGACGACAGGAATATAATAAGTCAAGAATCAGTAAAACCGCGCCCAACGTAACGCCAGGTGGCTATTGCGCTTCAACGAAACCACGTTCTATAGCTTACGTTTGTTTATCCGTTAAGAATATGCTATAGATCATACAAAATTATTTGATACCATCGAATGATTGTTTCTTCGAATACAAAAAAGTTTGAGAATACCTAGTGTGTATTGTTAGTAAAGTGATATATCAGAACAATTTAGCGGTGAACAGATTTTCTTGTCGTTTTGAACGGATGCGTGAAAATGAACGGCGTCTTTTGGATCGTTGTTGGCGAAAGGTTTTACAACGGGAGAGTAACGGCAGCGGTGCAACCGAGTCGCCACAGTCGAGCTGCGATCTCTCGCGCGTGAAGGAGTACATCGAGAGGAAAGGTTAATGCTCGAATTTAAAATACAGTGCGTCTTTGCGTTTGCGTGGTGGTTTTGGTATTATCGCGTGTAAAATCGATCTCGATCATGATTTATGGGTTCCAATTGAGAATGTCAAAGGAACTCTGTGTTTCAAATTAATCGAATAAAATTTTCAATATCGAAACGTACAATGGAATTGTAATAAGAGACCCCTAAATAGTGAAAGAACAATGTGTAATGAAATGTGATTGATCTGACAAATTGTTACAATTTCTTCGTCCGATAGGAAATTTATGTGCAAATACTGTGCGATTCTATGAATATTGAGAATGACATATTTATAGTAATCAATATCGCATCGGTGTAATGACACGTTTGGTGAAAGTATAGATTCGATCACGCATTATGGATCGAATCATCGTGTGACGCATCCTAGTATCGCGATAAATAACGAAGATTTCTAAATCGAGGACTGTGATACCTAGAAAAACTTGATGTATTATTTTATCTGTAAATAAATATCGTAATCTTCCTAAAAGCCGGCGCATGCTGATCTGTCAAAATGTTGCAACAAGTGTCATTGAAATATAACAGAGCTTCTGAACGAAACATCAAAAATATAAAAAATCAGAATGTACTATCGTTCCTAAAATTAGTGATTAATGTTCTACATAAACTTTGATTTCATTAAAGTGTTAATATAATAAAATCCGTCTGACAAAAGTTACATTAGACATAAAAAGTTAAGAGTGTGTACAACAAAATGCGCGTCCTGTGTTTGTTAATAACTTTTCTGACTGTTTATGGACAGTCAGAGAAAGGGTTCGACCAATCATCTATTTATTATACCGAGCCGACTTTCATCAACGTCAGTAATAATTCCAATGGTGGTCTCACGGAGTTGCACGGTAGTCATATTGTTCGGGGCCAACGATTATTGGAAAGATCGAAGAGCCCTTATCTGGTGCGGGAAGATTTGTTCGTGGAACGCGAGAGCGAGCTCGTGATAGAACCAGGAGTAGAGATCCGGTTTGGTCCCATGGTCGGAATCACGGTTCGTGGTATGATAATTGCAAAGGTAATACTGTAGAAAAGTGAAACTATATTTATTCTTCAAAATAGTATGAAAAATATGTTTGATGGTAGGGAAATGTTCATACTTACCGATTTGGTGATTTTTTGTATAAAAGTTACCGACGGAGGAGAACAAACTTTCGATGAAAATAATAGAAAATGGAAGTAAACTTTATCGGTTAACTTGACTTAACAAATTACAGAAATTGCAGGAAAATTAATTTATCAGGAATAAAAATGCTGTGTATGAATATATGTATGTGTGGATATGGTTGCACTGAATGAACGTGACTCATCTGGACGTACGATTGGGCACGTGTTTCTATGGAACATGAAGTGACGGGGGGTAATAATTCAAATTCCCAGAAAGTTTTACAATTACGTTTCCAGTTGGATTTCACAATAAGTAAGGAAGTCTGTTTTTATTTCTGCAAACTTATTGATGTAATTAATACCGTGTTACTCAATGATATATTTTACGAATTTTATACTTTTTTGTCCAAACGATAAATGTATCGCTCCATAGAATCGATATTATTATGGCGCTGATAAGCGATAAGAAACTATATCTACATTTTTGTTACATTACAGTTTCATCGATTCAGGACCGTAGTAAAATACAATTGGAAGTTCTGACTGTTAAAGAAAGACGTTAATTGCATCTGTCTTGAATAATTAAAAATCAACAATTAATTAATGTTCTGTTTAAGAATTGTTTTAACAGTTAAAATATTTGAATTATTTACGTGTTATTTTGATATATAGTTCTTATAATAAATTTTATTTAGTTATCAATGGTGGATATTTATATAGGCGGTGAAGGCAGTTACCTCGGGCCCCTGCACTATAATAAAAATATGTTCCAAAAATGTATACTCAAAAGTTCCGTATATGTAATTGAAAAGAATGTTATTTTAATACTTTAAAGGATGATTGTTTAATCTTCATTAAAAAAAACATGGATTTTCTGCTAATCGTGAAATTAATTTCGCATGGGAATAAAAATATATATACTGTACGTATTATTTTATATTATATTTTGATATAAAACAGGCTTTAGAAGCCTAAACTCACCATTATTATTAATTATAAATTAATATTAAACTTCATTACAGATATGGTTGATCTTCATCATCTTTACATTATGACATTTCATCACGAATGCAACACTATATTATAGAAGGAGTTTCTAATAATTAATCAAAAGTATCTTTAACGAGGGTATTCCAATTTTTCCTTTAAAGAGCGTATTATCCCTCCCCTGTGCGCAGTGAAATTTTATCCTCTAGAAATGCGTTCCCGAGGTAACTCTATATACGTTGTATACGCTTTAAATCTGTCTTTCCGGTACAATTAGAATCCGCCTGGCTCTCGAATGTACCCTGAGGATCGGTTTGCCTCTCGTTACGCGCTAGTTAGTCCCGCTTCGTCCGAACGCGCTTCTTTCGACTCCCTTCCGGAAGAGCAACGGTTGCCGGTGGAAGGTTTCACGATTTACAAATAACAAGAAATAATTAACTTCGTAACTGTTTCTCGTTCCACGGAACAGAATTGAAAGTAAAGCCGAAGTTGCGGAATCGATAGGATCGTGGAAAGGAACACGGCAAGGAATCGGCCGCGAGAGGAAAGTACGAAAAAAGAGGATTCGAGCGATGGAGTCTCTATCAAAGGGCGCTGAATGACCGGAAATTCCAGAAACACGCAAGCTGAGCTGATTGTTACTTTATTCGCATCACGTAGCTGTTGTGCTGTAGCTGTGGCGATCGTGCTGTTCGTACGTTGCGTATATACGTAAAGTATTCGAGCTGTTGTCTAGAATGGATATTATTAATATCCCGGTAATCGTGAAGTAAATATACCTTTCTAACGAAACAGATTTCTTTTTAATCTCATTGTATCTTATCTTCTTTACAATTTCGGTTTTTTCTTTTCTTTTTCCTTTCCTTTTCAAGGAAGATAAGAGCACAGGTAGGACTTGAGGATGATTTGGGTTAGGTTCGGGTTTGGTTTAAAACCGTGTAAATTAGTTCTACGAATTACACCTTTAATTTGTTATTTATTTCTTTGTATTCTGATTTCTTCGAAATTCTATTTATTTCCATTTTTGTTTGATCATATATCCCATTTGTTTATCTATGTCATGTCTATGAGACATGGTGGAAATTGAGAAATCAGTTTCGTTTACGATTCCAGTAACTTTGGAAATATCGGTTTTATTTCAGTTCGGTATCGGTTACGGTTACGGTCACGGTCCTAGTTAGCACTTATGTATTGCATTCATATATTCTCATATCGGTTCTATATCAATTGTTAAATTAATTTTCCACTTGACTTTGCAAAACCGTAAATTGTTGAAAAATTATAGACTCGGTATCTTCACAGATTTTTGTTCTTTATAATTGTTATAAAGAAATAACGGTTAAATAAAGAAATAACCATCATCGATGATGATGTCCCACGATGTGAAAACGCACAGCACACTTATAACTAGTTCAATCTCCTTTAATTTGCATTCCAATACAATCGTTACGTGCGCAGCTCTTAGCTTGGAGTAATTACCAATTACCAAATCTCACCAGAGATAATTGCTGTTAGTATCGGGACCTTGGCCTTAAGGGTTTTATATTGGTCGTCCTATTGGTGCATTCTGTATTAAGGATATACTTATCTAACTTAAATCGAGAATAAGAACACGAAGTTGCATACACCTTGCTCAAAATGTTGTGCCTTACAATAGAGGATTCGATTTGGTATACTATTCTCCACTGTTCTACTATTGTAAAATTGCTTTTCTAATTTTAAATTATTTTCTAGGACGGTTAAATTTACTCGAAAACGAATAGAACTAAGGAAATACGAACAATGGAACAAAAGTTAAAGTCACAGGCCGAACGAGTTCGCGATTGTTCAAGAGATCAACAGTCGACACGACGCACTCCCGTGCACAAGATAATTCCATGTTTCAGCACTCTTCGCTGATCAGTATTCGCTGAAGTCGAGTCACCGGCAACCACGACACATCTTATACAAGAACGAGGGTGAAATATTGAACCAATGATACTCCCATGGACAAATCGAAGGTCCCTAGCGAGGTCTAGTAGTCGAACGCACTGTGCTTTATCTGGTAGAAGAAGTTAATTGAGGTCTGATGAGGTCTGATGGCAAACGGTATGATACGTTATGGTCATCTGTACTACAGGGCCTATATCCTGGCCGAGTATGGACAGGTACCCAGGTAGACTAGGGCTACGGAACTTTGCCTTGACACCACCGCTAAGGCTGATGACGTAAATACCAACGAACTTGTGGCATGTCTCAGGTAGACAGCGATTGAAGAAGGTTTGGAAATCGAATCGAGAGTGGCTCAAGAGAGCAAGGAGCTATCAAGTGCACGAGAGTATGTTATGCAGGGAGTCGGTTCTCTTGAGCAATCGTGAAATGATAATTGAAAAAATAATTAGCGGAGAAGAGAATACTTATCATTTAATACCTGATATTCGTTGATGATCACCGTTCACCTCTTTCGCATATTTTAGAGTCAAAATTTCGATTAAAATTTCCATCAGTCCGAGCTGAAATCGAATTGACAAATGAGCTACATTTTCACTGCTCAGCCTTTATATAATTAGCTGCTGTCTGGCGAACCTTACGACAACGTGGCTGAAAAGTTCCGATCATTGCCGATTTCAATAATAATAGCTTTTTTACTATATTAGCAAGAGATTTATTAGCTTTTTCACTTTTAAAAATGTTATTTATATACTACAATATTATTTAACAACGTCGATAGTTTTATATTTTCAGAAGTTTTACATCCCGAGAAATTGCTTACTATTTTTAACGCTCGCGTGACCAACATCTGATAGGCATTTAAAGGCTTGAAGGTGGAGCTATTCACCGGTGATACCGATAGGGAGAACCCCATTGGGGTTGAAAGAAAATGAGTGGAAGTAATCCATTTAAATAGGGGATTTCTAATTGTCGCGTTTCCGCGAGGGCAGTTGGCGAAAGTGGCCGAGAAGAAGGCAACTAATGACTCGATTAAAGAACGGGACACGAAGAGCCGCTCACAGTGTAAAAAACATGAACGAGTGAATCAGCTCTACACTGCTCCGCCTCCACCGTGTGGTGCGTCTTAGGTCACGGATCAAACAGCGGTTCTTGGCCTGAACTGTTAACCCCCGACCTCACTAATCCTCTTATGCTCGTGCTCTGACGAGATCTTCCCTTCACCTTCGTGATTAATTCTTGAAAGAATGAACCTTTATTTATAGACCACGAAGGCTATAAAGATAGTTCGAAAATAAAAAGGATTGCTTGTGGTTTGGGAATTTGATATTTAATACCGAATGTCGAGTGTTTAGAATTGAACGAATATATAGAATATATAGAATATTCGAACATTAGAGTGTCGTTTTCTAAGTACCAAATGGCAAACGTTAACAACCGAATATTAAATTCCGAAAATTAAATACTGAACTTTTGAGGAGCAATCTTGAGCACCAATACCGTATAAGAAGTTCCAAATGTCAGATGTATATATTATTGTTAATTTTTTATTTAAGGGGCAGCCACAAGCGCCAATTATATTAACTGCGGCAGAAACGAATAATCAGATTCATCCTGTCGAATCACCGCTTCTGATACGTCTGGTCGATGGACCAACTCCACTTGAAGGTAGATTGGAACTTTTCCATAGTAACGATTGGAGAGCTGTTTGCACGAATTCGCGAAAGTAAGTTCTCATTTTTTAAAAAACAAAGCTCTTTTTTTTAAATAATTTTAACACTTTGATATGTTAATGTATAGTTGGACTCGGGCCGATCTGGAAACAGCATGCAGGCAGCTCGGTTTCCAGGGTGGAAGATGGTGGTCGTGGATGGATCGACAATGGCCTGCAAAACCACGATTGCTTTACGAGCAACCGGGTTGTAGAGGCACGGAATCCTCTTTAACAAGCTGCGAGAAATGGTCTGAAAGGCAACTTGGTGGTGGCGTCTGTGGTAAAGTTTTAATTAAACTTATAGATGTATATGCCTGTAAAAGATAAAGGATACAGTACGATTTTAGATTATCATCCTGATCTTGGAATATCGTGTTTACCCCGTCACGATGGTGCCACAAAAGCAATTAAACATTGGCGAGGCATTCGTTTCGAAGATGCATTGTATAGTCGACCACTGATTCAAGAAAATACACTTTACATACGAAGATCAAAGTCAATTTTACAAAACGTTATAATAGAGTAAGCATTTCTATTAAATATTTAAAACCGGTGTTGTGTTTCAAGAATAGAAGCTAATGGAAAGTTTTTGGTAATTTTGTTTTCTTTTAAAAGACATGCAGGAACAGGTCGGGAATATAATGTTACCTCTGCGATCGATATCGAGGGTGTTCCACCGCAAATGGAATCGATTTCTGTTCTGCATGCAGCCTTTACAGGTATTAATGTTACCACACCAGACGCTCCTATTATAATCAACAATAGTACCATTCAAAACAATAGGGGTAAGTTTCATTCTAGTATCATTGATCGAATAATCGAGTAAAATTTTTTTTTGTACAGGTAGTACTTCAATATTATTCCATTGTTAAATTACAGGATATGGGATTTACGTAAACAGTTCATCTGGAATGACACATATTAATGATTGTAATGTATTAGATAACGGGGCTGATGGAATTAAATATGTTCATTTTGATGAACGACCTGATGATAAATTGGATCGTACAGAGGTGTTTGATTTATGCACGTTTCCAACTACGGCCAGTCAAACCTTTCCTGTTATAATATCTATGGAACAGAGTAAATATACACCTAATACGAAACGATGTCCACAAGTAAATGAGATTATAAGTTATTTCATAAGTAATCATCTCAACTGAAATAGAATGTAATGTCCAATATATCATTTTAGCATATTTTTACGAGACAAGGGCATGTGTTAACTATTCATTTTTTGCAAATGAAGACTGACATAAATAACAGTGCAACGATAGAAGTGTTTGATGGAATAGGCGAAACGGAAAAGATGTTAGCTAGAGTAAAAGTCAAAAATGACTCGTTACCACAAAGTGTTACGACGAGTCGACAGAATTTGTATGTAAAATTTATCGCTGAACCACGCACGAACACAATCGTTTTTGTGCGACTGTCTTCGAGCTATAGTAAGTCCTTAATGAAGTTGAGGATTTTACTGAACTTCTTAAAATTTAATGCTATGAAGTATAATTTAAAATTAATATAAGGGTATTTAATTATAAATATTTCTATTTCTATAAATCATTAACAATTGTTTTGAAATAGTAATAGCAGTATTTGTAATACTTCGATTCTCTTTTCTAAGTTAAAGAAATTGATCTACTTATTTATATCTGGTAACTGTATTAAGAATACTATTTGTTTTTTACTCTAGAGAAAGCTTACGATCTGAATGTGACTGGAAGCGTCATAGCGAGTAACAATGGGAGAGGAATTGCAGTAGAGAAACTACGGTCAGCTCTACACGTTCATGAAACTTCCGTATCCAGCAATAAACACTTAGCTGGTGTGCATGTATTGGGTGGAGCTGCGGATGTGAATATTACGAGTAGTCGTATATCTTTTAATTCAGGGGACGGCGTGAACATCACTCATACGGGAGGAAATCGTAATGTGTCTCGGACAAGTATTTCCTCTAATCAGGGTTATGGTTTTGCAGTATGGTTGAATGACAGCACAACTATCGAATATGTTTATTTTAATCAGACTACTGTAGTTGAATACTCACAAATATTTCGGAACAAAGATATTGGCATCCTAGTAAGTGCACATTATACGAATAAATAAATTAGTAGAAATCGTTTGCTTTAAAACTAACTATACTTTATTAAATTTTTTTTACCTAACACTCTAACATACATTTGCACTTGTTTTTTGTCAAATTAGATATAAGTAAAGCTAAATTAATCTGTATCGTTATAAATCTAGATATGTTAACTTGTTGATGTTTACATTATCTGCAGATTGGCAATGCAACTGGCACTTCGTATGTGAATGTGACGGGTAATTGGTTGAATAATAGCGCCGAGACTGCGGTGCAAGTGGAGTCTAGTTGGAAACAGGATACAGGATTGTTAAGACTCCAAATTGGTCACAATTCTTTCGTACAAAATACAAAGTTGGCGATCAAATTGAGTCCTGCTCTTAATTTAAAAGCAACAATAGAATACAATCATTTTAGAGAACAATCTAATGGCTGTATATTAATCAGGAATCCTCTCTATGAAGAATTTAATATTTTGCCTGTGGATATTATTATTAGACATAACGAATTTTATAATAATCGTGGAACCTTTGTAGTCAGTATTGGTCTTTCACCGTATAGTGACGTTCAGACATTATTATTCACCAGAAATTTCTTACGTGATAATCGTGTTCGAGAAATGTTTGATCGTAGCACTGCTATGAGATCCAGATTAATTCCGCGTTCTAGAGTCGCGGCTATAGTTGTTGTTTCATCAAGCAATGTTGAAGTTTTTCGTAATATTTTACATAATCCTGAATCACGATACGAAATTGGCTCCCACTTGGAGGATCAGAGTAAAATTATTAATTGTACTTACAATTGGCTTGGATTTACTGAAGAAAATAATATATTTGAGAGATTGTTTCATAGGTTGTATTATTTAATTGTATAATTATTTTATAAATTTTATAATAAACAATGTTTTTAATATATTATTTTATTTCAGGAAAGACAGATACAATCTAGCCAAAATTCAGTATTTGCCGTATTTGTTGCACAGTAGCAATCCAGGAGCCAACACGATCATTTCAAATCCAACATTTGTACCACCATTCGTTACAACTGGTACAAATTTAGTTGGCGGTGAAGTCGATGGCCAGGAATCATTAAATGCTGGAGAATACATGGTCGAGAGAGATATTAATATACGTCCGGGTGGAAAATTGATTCTCCATCCTGGAGTTAGTTTACGTTTTCCACCAGCCGTAGGAATGATGGTCGCTGGAACATTAGATGCTCGTGGAAAAAGACCAAGTGATATTTTATTTACTTTGAAAGAAGAACTTCTCATGGATTCAGGTAACGAAACTCTTATGAATGAAGGGCTCAGTGAAATAAATGAAATGGACCTTATGCCTGTAAGGCTCCTTGGAGGAAAAACTAATCTTGAAGGAAGACTACAGGTAAAAATAACTTATTTAAAATTTGTGTACATTAAAAAATAAAATATACGAATTTTTAACGTCTATTCAACAGGTAAAAGTAGGTGAAAAATGGGGAACAGTTTGTAATTACGGTTGGACAATTCAGGATGCAGCCCTTGTCTGTCATCAATTAGGTTTCACTTTAGACCCTGATAATTGGCTTATGGAACGATCGCAAATTCCAAACGCTGGTATCAATGAAGATATTGTTTTAAGTAACGTTAGGTGCACTGAATATGATAACGATATATCGAAGTGTAAAGCAGAAACAGAGCAGAATTTTGAGAATTCTTGCACTCACGAGAACGACGTGGGCGTTAGATGTTCAGAAGCTGCGTGGGCAGGTCTTCGACTAGGGCCGTTGGCTTTAAGAAGCGATCTACAGTTTGTAACGATAGAAAAAGCAGGTTTACTTGATTACACCACAAATTCTTTTAAACCAGGTAATATTTTATATCATAAACATTAAGAAGATCTATATATAAAATATAAAAATTGCTTAAATTTTTATAGCTCTTCAAATTGATTTTTCAAGACACTCACTGGACAGTGTTAGAATAATTGATAATTTACAAGATGGTTTAGGAATCTTATACTCAGACATATACTCTGTAAATGCTGTTAATACAGTCAGAAATAGTGATTTCTCACAAAATGGAGGCAGTGGAATCAGTTTCAAACAATTAGGAATGAAAATTATTAATTCTCGAATTGAAAATAATAAAGTTGCAGGGATAAGGCACAATCCTGCTCTTTCTGCAGTTCAACAAAGAGAATTTGCAGGATGGTTTTTGCGTGTACCAGATTTAATTGATTCCTCATATAATCCAGTAGTTATACCAGATTATATGCAAGACGTTGAATTAGCAAATGAAGAAACTAAGTATATGATAACGATTAAAGTTACCGGTGATCCTATTCGAAAACGTATTCTTATTAAAGTAAGTACATTAATAGAGATAGCTGTTCTTTTCGTTAAAAATTTTTCTTCTAAAAGATAATGTTACTTTTTTTAATTTTACAGTGTACACCGGGCTACGTTATCGGTATTCAACTTCTAAATCCTATTGAAAATCGTAGTACAGAGCAGATTATCTTACATGACTCGCAATATGTTTATCCTAGTCAGGAAATTTGGCACTTGAAACGTGATTTAGCAATATTTCCTGTAACATCAACTTCTTTTGCTGTAATTTTAGAATATGACAGTGGCTCAAACGCACTTGGAGGCGCTGTTATTGTTATCACAGCTCTGCAAGCTCCAATACAGGTATGGGGATTAAAATAACAAACATTTATGATATTTAAAAGCTATATAATATTTTATTTAAAGGATACACGAAGGAAAATTTCAAAAGGCCCTATTCCAACATTGGAGGTAACTAAAACTAAAATCAAGAATAATAAGAAAGGTATACTTGCGTCTTTTTATAATCGGTATCTGGACGAAATTGGTGACCATTTTCTTCGAAAAGCAAATGAAACTATACAACTGGTTGCTTGTGAAGTTTCTCATAATCAAGAAGAAGCTATTTACATACATTCTCCTCATTGGAACATTTTTCAAACTAATATGTCTGAGATTGCAATTCATATTAATGACAGTTTAATTACGGACAATGGTAAAGGAATATATCAATTCAGTCGTGATGCAAGACATTCGAATAATCTTTTTCATTGGATAATGCAAGATAGTACAATTGAAAGAAATAAAAGAGGAGGTTTTGAAGTACTTTTGCCTGATGTATGGCAATATAATGAGAATTTCACGCATACTTTATACTTTGGAAATAATACATGGCGAAACAACGAGCAATTTGGCTTCATAATTGATGGACACTACACTACTTTGAATATTTCTCATAATCGATTTGAGGGAAATCAATGTAAAACCGGTTTGATTTCCATTCGAGGAATGGAAAAGAAAATGCAAATTAATAATAATTATATAGAGAGTAATACTGGGATATACATGGTAGAATTCAAGGCAGATAGTCAGTCTGAAATTTTGGGAAATGTCGACGCTCGTTTCTATAATAATGAGGTCAAGCGAAATAGTTATGATCTAGCTGCTATGGGACCCCGTCGTATTGACGATAGTCCTAGCTATGTTGTTGGTTTTCATGGTATACAAAAAGTTCAGATAAACAGAAATTTATTCGGTGATAATTCCTTGGATTATGAATTATTGGCTGGCATTAGGACAGCTAAAATCAATAATGAAGTCGATGTTACAGAAAATTGGTGGGGAACTACCAATGATACTGAAATACGGTAACTAATTTATGAAATATTTACATAATAAATATATTTATTCTAAATGTTATATATTATTATGTATTTATAGGCAAAGTATTTTTGATTTTGATGACTGGAATAATCATGCAGTTGCAAATTACCGACCTTTCTTAACCAGTGATACTTTTGATTCTTCAGTATCTGCATCCTGGCAGATTGGAAAAGAGATAGATCTAGATAATTTAGGTGGACGTATAATAGAAAATCTATCCATCTATGCTAGAGACAAACCCTACTTTGTAAGATCGGACATCACAATTATGCCTGAAGCCACATTACATATTTATCCGGATGTTGTTATGGAATTTGCTCCCAATGTTGGAATTCTTGTTCTTGGCACACTGAAAGCTGTAGGTGCGCCCGATCATGAAATTATAATGAAACCAATGGAACGTAAAAATGTTAACGAATCTACAAATGAGAAATTAAGAAGAAGTGGAAATATTGTTTCTGTATCGGAGGAAACTATACGTCTTTGTAAAGATGGACGATGTTCCTCTTTATATAATGAAGGCAAGGCCTTAATTAACACATGTAGTGATACAACAAATTACTATTAAAAAAATACTATTAGGACATTTATTTTAGATATTTAGATTTTATCACAGATATTTATTTATATTCTTGCAGGATTTTTGGAATTCTTCAATAAAACAACTTTACAGTGGATCCCTTTATGTGATACTAGGTTTACTGAAAGAAATGCACAAGTAGCCTGTCGACAATTGGGTCACGATTCACTTAATGTCTACGTATCCTATGATAGAAGATACGAGCTTCATCCTGGTTCTTTAATACGCGTTTGGTCATGGCCTGAACCACTGCAGGTACGTATAAATTTTAAATACTTTAAACTCATCCATTGTATTAGTTCAAATGCACCAAATATTTAAATTTCCACTACATTTCAGTGCAGTGGAAAAGAGGAAAAATTGGAAGACTGCCAAATTAGACTAAATGGCCAGTTATACGGCCATCGACATGAATGCCCATGGGACAGTCAATTCGTTTTTATAAGTTGTGGAAAACGGAATTTAGATGATGCTCATGATTATTGGGGTGGAATAAGAATTGCAAATAGTGAATTTGAACATCATTTGTATGAACATCGTATTCACGATGTTGTGACTCACGAAACACTAAGACGTGTTGAATCTATATTAAAATATATCAATATAATTGGTGCTGGTATTTTGCACTTTGAAAAATCAGCTGCTTTACAAACAATTATGAAATCCCCAACGATAACACATGTTAACATAACTCGCAGTGCTTATCACGGTATTAACGTGATATCACCAACTCATACGGTTCGTATCAAATTATGACATTCTTTTATAACTAATCAGATTTGTTATTTGTTAATTCACTTACTGGTTTGTTTGTTAATCCATAGGTCGAATTACTATTTAACACAATCGATAACATACTTGGAAATGGCGTGAACGTACTTTCAATAACTGGAGAAGGTCGGGAGGCAGATGAAAGTTCATTTACTCCAATTAAAGATCTTAGTATTCCTTATCATTTATTCAGCATGATCGATATTTGTGATACTACTAAAGAAATTACATTGGAAGAGCGAGTTATAGTTTATTATAAATATGACAATCATCCCGTGAATTGTGTTAAGATTTTTCGCAGTGTTTATAGAGCAAAACCTTTCGGATTTAGGTTTGCATTTTTGCCAGTATGTTATCAATCGTCCTTTTCATTTTTGATTACATAATTATAATTTACAATTTTGTAGGCTTTTGCAATTTAATTTATTTAACTCTACTGGAAAATTTGGTCGAACTGATAGCATTACTTTATATGATGGAGACATTTACAACATCACTGCCAAAAGCATAGGTCACTTAGAAGCTAATAGTCTCGATGAGAAAAAATTATTTAAAACTCAAGGACCAAGTCTTAGTGTAAGCCTATTTGCTAATGGTGCAAGCAATGTACATGGATTTATTGCAGAAGTAGTTACTCTACCAATTTCTGCCATTGGATTCAGTAAGGAATATGAATACATAACTGGGATACTAAATATTGATGTTATATTACGTATTATATTTTCTTTGTTTGCATAGATCGTGATGTGCAACATAATATTTCTTATTCTGTGATATCTAACTGCCGTGAAGGCGCAATTAAATATGCTAGTGCTGGCGAAGTCAATGCTATAATGACTCTTGAACGTAATCAATTCATAAATAATTGCGAGAAACTTTATGGTAATTTTTCAACCTGCAAGTCCGCTGTATGGTTAGATATTCAAAATACTCAGTCTTTATATTTTAGAGTAAGCATTTTTATATTTATTAAAATATTCTTTAATTACTTGTAATTTCTTTTATTTATGTGTTGAACATTTTAGAATAACGCTGTTCGAAAAAATCAAGGTGGTCTTTCGATTCGAGCTGATTCCAGAGGTTCAGCAACGTCTTTGGAAGGATGGATCCACAATAACGTTTTTGCAGAAAATTTTAATAAACCTGCTTTGTACGTACAAAAGCATATCTATAATTTTTTAAATTAGAGTGACTCCAATGTTATTCAACTTCGTTACAGATATGTGGAAGGGCGACAAAGCAGTCCTTATCAAGAAGTTACTATATTCAGAAATTATTTTACAAAAAACAATGCTCCTTATGACAATAATATTGTTTTAAAACAAGTAGTCAGTAATATGACTCTAAATTATTTGCATGGCAATCTTGGTGCGCATCTTTTGGAAATCTCCGGATTCGAAGGAGTTCGTTTACCTATCTATCAAAGCACATCTCATAATGGCTTCTATAAGTATATATTTTTTTACTGGCATTTAATATAAAAAATTTCATTTATAAATTTTACGAAAAATTATTTCAGAAATTATGCAGTAGATCGTAATGGTCGCAGCACAGTAGTTGCTGGTACTCCTGGTCAACAATATGTGGATAACGTTTTCTTCAATCCAGATAATGATTATGAAATGCTTACAACAAATAGATCACAGTATGTGTAACTTTATACTTATTAACATAATCTATTACATTAAATATTAATAACATAATTTAATTTTTAATTGTACAGGCAAATAGAAATGTGGAGATCTCACATAGATGCACGACACAATTGGTGGGGATATAACGAAACGTTAGCTGTTGCTGGTAGGATTAGAGATAGAGGAGATTCTCCAGAATTGCTACAAGTTGATTATCAACCTTTCCACATGAGTAACAAGTCTGTCTTAAATGGTAAATGTCCACCAGCGTGGGATCTGGTGGGCGACACATGCTATATATACATTGGTGCTCCTATGGATTTTTATAGTGCTCGAGATTTTTGCAGAGTAAATGATTGATTATTTACTTCTTAATATATATATAGTTATTTTATTTATAAACTTATTTCATAAAATTTGTCTCTATATTCTTAGTCTGTAAACGCGTCTATGCCATTTATCATGGGCAACTATTTGGAGCTTTGGCAATTTTTACGGAAACAACAGATACGATACGATTATTCTGATCGTGCTTGGGTGCAACAGTTAGATCGCGTGGATCAATGCACAACTTTCACGTATCAAACTATTGAAGTTGACTACTGTGCTCAGCCAAGTCCCTTTATTTGTGAAATCGGTATGTTTTGTGATAGTTATTGTGATTCTTAGAAGATGATAAAGGATATATTTTTTATTCTAGATCCTAGAGTAGATATTGATCCATTATCTTGGAGGAAGGATATAGTTGCAGTGGCTGTGTTAGTGTCAGCCGGTGTAGCTCTTGCATTATTAACAGCCGCTATTGCACTTTGGGCGTCTAAATCAAAAAGAAGAAATCTCGAAAGATTAGAAAGACGGAATTCAATCCGACAATCTTTGCATTCTTTACGATCAGTTGGCTCCACCTCTGGATTTACTGAACTTGCATACCGACGCAAACCTATTGCGGTACATTTTTTTTTAACAATATTAATAGTATATTTCAGATAATTTTTCTATTTCAATCATTGTATCATTATCATTGCGGAAATATTATTTTCAGACAAAACACTCTACAGATACTTTAAATTCAAAGTCCCTAGATTACAGGAGAATGTTAAATGGTGGAAGTATAGATTCAATGGACAAATCTCAATTAAATTCGTCTATGGAAGATAATCAAAGTTATGATGTCTACGAAGCACATAATCCAAGATATTCTCCGAGTACCAGCGACTTCAAGAGCACTGCCCAGAAATATGGTGCTCCGCAAAGTGGGGATAATCCAGTATTTGATTTAACTTATCGTAATGAAGGTTTTAGAAATCATTCTACGTTTACCTCGAGAAGCACCAACGATTGGCCCATAGAATCCACTACAGAAACAACCACTGATGAAACTCCAGCTGTTGATGCCACTAATGAGAGTTCTTATCTTAATAATACCTCTACACTTCCACTGAATTCCAGTCTTGCCTTAACTGATTCAATTAGCGAATTAAAACGTGACATTGAAGTATCAGCATCTTACAGTCCAATGGATTATGACTCGAAACGTAATTATGATAATACGATATTGACACCAAGTCAGGTATCAGAACCTGTTCCAGAGTATGCTCCGAATTTTAATCCTCCAATACCGCCTCACCCTTATCATTATCACGAAGACAGACCTAGGAGTGAGGCATTATTAGAAACTAACTTGGATACTGGAGAAGAGAAACCTTTACGTTCAAAAAGCGAGACTTTATTAGAGACTAATTTAGATGTATTTTTGGCAAATGAGCCTACAGAATTAACGCAACTTTCGTCTGGAGCACGAAGCAAAAGTCAACCTTTGGAAACCGCAATGTAAATTGTTAAAAAGGAGTAGAATAACTTTTGTACATGTAAAAAGTAATTTCCAGAAGTGATTAGTGGTGAACTAATTTTTATTATGCAATTTATGAAGCAATGACTTTTAGGTGGAAAAAATTTCGATAATCGTTATTCAGCCCACCGAATTTAACACATAAGCTGCTGAAACTCAAGAAGAACAATGAATTATCGTTATTTTTTTACGCAATATGTCTAACATCTTCTTGTAGTTGTTTAAAGTTGAGATCTCAGTATTCGGTTGGCTCTTAGTACAGTAGGATTTAACGAAGTTTGAATTACTTCAGTTCATTAAAAGAACTTTTTTTACGTTTTATATAAAATGCACTTGCGCACAATTCCAAGTTGTACCTAATTATATAGTACGTAGTATATTTACTAATATATCAAATATAGTAGATAAATTTTTTATAATGTATTGTGTACAGTGAGCGTTTGATACAACGATGCGAATAACAGTTCGCTATTAGGATAATGTGAAAAGTCATTTACACGTCCAAGAAACGTACATAAAGAACAATTAGCATAATTTTTCTGTTAGAGATTTTTAAGTTATCAAATAATTAAAATACAACAGATCGAAAATGTGACGTAAAAATAACAAACATAAAAACATGTCACAAATATATGGTACTTCACTGCCAAACATGCTAAGAAATATACATTATTATACTAGCACAGTGAGATGAACTCGCGTGTCCACGTTGTGATAGATAACTCATTTGAGTATAAATTACATTTTAGTCTCGTTAGTGTATTCATGGTTCTCATCACGTAAGCAAATTATATATTATTAAAGAATAGTACATCCATATATGTGTATGTGCGTACGCGTCCGTGTGTCCCTGTGTGTATGTGCGCGCGTGTGTATGTAGGTATATATAACACATGCATATAAATGTATATATATGCACATACACAACATTTGATTCAGCATGCAAGAAATTTAATAGAAATAGTTTTCTTTATAATAGGTGATCTCACCAAGCGCCTACATAAAAATTGTACACTATTAAGTGTATTATCGCAACAGATTATCCGTGCGTATGTGTAAGTTTGTTATAACGACAGTGCCTTACTAGGCATGCAATATATACATATTTATATATATGTATAAATATAGGCATCAAAGGATGTCTTTCAGCAAATCAACTTAAGACATTTTGTTCATACTTTTTATATTGTTAATATAAGAGAATCATAGAGATTTACGTAAAATTTATTAGTGAATAATAACTCGACAAACAAAAATGTACTATGTTAATATATTCTTCCAAACAGGGAAGACCGAAAAATATCTAAGAGAACAAGAATAGACGTTGATTTTTATACAAAATATTTTTCAGGACATAATTATGTATTCGTTAAAATTTTGAAGTATACGTAACTTAATATTTGTATATTAAAAATTAATTATGACAAAATTAATAAACAAATTACAGTCAGTTAAAATGAATATATTTTGTTACTTTATCATAGGTCAAATTGAACTGAAGAAAATGGAAGCAATTTTACTTTTTTTTATATGTTATAATTAAATAGATATTTCAAAATGTGTATACAATATATTACACGATATAATGAAGGGGTTGACGAATAAATTATGGAAGACTATTTTAAAACAATATTGAATATATTAATATTAATATCGTTAATAACATTATTAAATATCGGGATCAGATTACTATTCGTCGTAGCCGTTTTCTTAGACCGCAGAAACGATCAATTGACAGCAGAAGCTCGCCTATGTTTACAGTAGACGAAAGTTTTTTATATTTTTTCACTTTTTTTTTTTATAAAGCTCTTTGTATGTTCAAGACGTGGCTCACTTATAAACAAAAAACGGCTCTGCTTATTTCGTATCTTCTAGACACGATTTTTTCATTTAAATATGCTAAATCTTATTATAAGATAGGCATACAAATGTATATATACAATTTTCTATTAGACTAATATGATAGGAGTCACGCCGAGATCGAATAGCTAAAAATTTTCGTTAGCTATAGTATGATTTTATCAGAATTGCATAAATTATTTAAATATTTTGCTCTAATTGTTCTTTTATGTGAAACAATAGCAAGTATATTTTGAAATAACATTTTTTGCGAAGTTGAATATAAGAAATCTTCCTAGCGACAAAGAGATCATCTTTCGATAGGAACTATCCTTATAGGATGTACAATCATGAACTATCGTAAAATGAGAAACTCCGGATAACTTACCGAATTCTTTACCTTAAAAAACCCATGAAATGATACTTCAGAATTACATCAATTTATCACCGAGAAAAGTAATTGATCTCTATCACGAATAAATTAAAGCAAAATCATTTAAATAATCAATGCTGCCACTTTATTCTGGAAATATCGATATAGACGTAAATAATTAATTTAGTACGAATAATGATGGTAGTGTTTTACCTAATATTTCTTAGTACGGAAGACTACATAATTCTTTTGATCCCTATTGCACACGTCATAACAAAAAAGGAAAAAAGAAAAAATTATTGCACCAATATCATGCAACATAGCACATTACGGTAACGAGAAACAAAACCAACAATGCGATTTGTTCGTGTGCTCGTTAATCCGCAGTACTATTTTATCTCTTATATTTTAACTTAATTTTTAAGACACTTAACATGAATAAACTCGTCTATCTATGAGCTGACAATATTAATTCGGAGCACTCGTATTTGCGAATCACCTCGTCATGTTTCATTGCACTTTTCATCACGACAACAATCGCTGAACAAAATAAAAACAGATCGCGTGTCATTAGCAGTTTAGTGAGCACGCTCAATCAGACAACTTCAGGTACCTTTGAATCGAGAGTTTCGATGGTGGTAATGTCCTTCCAAAATCTCGATATTATCGATCAATCTGTGTAACCTGTACTCTCGTCTTCAATCTTTTTTTTCTCTGTTTTATGACTTATATGTAAGCACAAATGTATATTCAATTGAAAGCAAAATATTCGTATCATATAGTTTAATAGTATTTTTTTTGTTTCTTTATGTCGGAATGTATGATGAAGTTTTTGGCAATTACAACCACGCGTCAATTATCGATTATCAAAGCTCATTTCAAACCTAGCTGTAGTTTAATATTTATAAAAAATATATATATATATCTATACGTTCATATCATTTCTATGTATGTATAATTCATAAGACATTTTACCAAATTTGTTTTATTTTCAATTTTTATCGGTAAAACGACCCTGGTTTTTCGAACGTCACTCTTTATATCTAAAATTGCACCTTTTTACACGAGCGCTGTTTGCAGGAACAAGAACAAAGAGGGACATTTTCAAAACTACAAAAGTATATCCTTAACTCAATTTTTATCCAAAATATTCATCCTTCTCCCCGATATATAGAATGTATTTGCACTTTCAATTCTAACAAAATTTCAATTTTGTTTTAAGACCAGCTTTCCTTTTTCTTTTTTCTTTAGTAAGTGTACTTCTAAAAGTATCATTCATGAGACTAATTATTAATTATAAAATATGTTAATAGTTTTAGTTAATAGTAATGGGGATGGGATGAAGAAATTCAAAAAAATGTTCTACTTGACTGGGAAAGAATAAGGCTGAAGAATTAAGTAAACTAATTACGTGATTGAATAATCAATAAATCTCAGGTATCAAAATTTTCGACCTGATAGTCTATCAGTGTTAAATAATCCAATATATATATATTGTATGATAGTCACTGTAGAACCATAGTTATACGTATTTTTACTTTACCACATACAGGTAAAATTGATTATAAACAGGAATCGATATTAAAAGTTGGTTCAAGGCAGTAATAATATTTTTAACGAAAGACGTTCATGCAATACTTGCAACATTGAGGACGTAATTCGATGGTGAAGAATTATAAGACCATATTATCACACGAATCGTAGCCTCCTACAGCGATTCAGACAACCGATGAAACGGAAGCTAATATGAAACGACACTTTGGAGTCGAATAACTTATTCAATAATAATAAAATTGAAACTTTACAGTGACTTAACGACAATAACGTTTAGATAACTCGTTTGGATAACGATCAGCGATAAGGTATATATTAAATTTCATATTAAAACTTTAAATTAAATTAAGTAAAACTCTAAAAGTAAATGCGCTATCACGCTAGTAATTTTACTTCTTTTTTTTATCCTTTTTCTAACATCGACGACCACTTTCACCATGTTAAGCAAAGGAGGTCAACATGGTCAATGCGTTCGACTATAAAACTATAGCTTGATGCTCGGAATCACAAGGTAGCAAACAAAAGTTTGTACGAATTAAATGCTAACACGTCATGTGTGAATTTCATTGCTCGAGTTCCGAATACCAGCTGCACGTTAAGATCACTGATTTTCAACGGGCTTACTTGAAATGATCGAAACGTCAATTATTTCTAAACACCACAATATTACTGACACGACCAGACGATGTCTGATCGCGATTCTTTACTCCCGGGAATGTCCATGTAGCGCTCTGATGCTTGATCACAGAGCTGCGAATGGAATGGAGAGAAAAAATATATAGAAGGGATTGACAGAACAGAAGCCCAGGAAAACGAGGGAATCAGAAGAATAGAAAACGTGCCGTGCGCGTTCTGTTCCAGAGGGATTGAAACAAACGACGAGAAAGAAACGACGTCACTGCGCTATGCTACGACGACTTGCATCTGTCTCTAGACTAGAAAGAAACGTGCCACCCTGCGACACGTTAGATTTATGGGGTGAGGGTTGGGGGAAGCTTCTTTCGAAGATAAGAAAAAAATATAAATCCTGTCGCACTGGATACCCTCGAGATTTCGTTTAACGGATTTTCTCGGATAACAAAGACGAAGCTATTTTGGACATGGACTCTTACACACACGTATGAGGACACGTGATCTTCTTTTGCAAGCAGCAAGAAAACGTAACCGTTCAGTTTCTGTCGTGCGAGGCTAAAAGGTTCACTCGACTCTGTCGAGGATCAAACGTGTGGCAGAACGTTCAAGACGAATTCGCCGGATGAATCTCGATCAGACAATCATCATCAAACCATAAATACTTCGACAAATGGATTGCATTCCGCTTGCGGGGGTGCAGGAACAGGTACACGTTTTTCCATATCCATTCGAGGGAGGAAGGCGTCAATACGTGGTGGCTCTGCGGTTGGTGTAGTTGTAGCAGGTACAGTTGCTCCTGGTGCTAATTGTAAACACTCAGCTGGAGTTAACTAGAAGTACAATTACATGAAATTAAAAATAGATATTGGAAAGCTTCTTTTTCCATTTTCTTTTCTAAATGTCCACATTTTTTAGAGTACTTACCAAGGCCGCCTGTTGAGGAATTGCCGCGATACCACCGACATTTGCTGGATTATAATAATTAGTTGGGCTGACTGGCGGTGAAGGATAGGGCCAATAAAATATTGGAGCCGGATAAGGTGCTGCAAATTGTGGTGGACCACGAGGTAACATTGCAGCCGCAGGTGGAAATATTGCGACTGGTGGTGGTGGCAACATCGTGCCTCCTAGATGAGGAAAAAGAAGGAAGACAATCAACGTTCGATCGAATTTATTCGACTAATAATATCATAATAAATATACTATCATTTAAAAGTTGAATTAGTTTGTTTTGAAAATGATGATATGATAAATATAAAATCACACGTAGCTTCAAACTTTTGAACGATAGTATAAATGTGCTTATCTATATTTACGATCTGAAAGTTATTCTTTTTGAATGAAAGAGAAACTTTGAGATCTTAAAATAGACAACTATATTAGAAAAAAGAGCGTTAGAAGAATTCTCTTATGTCAGTTCAATTAAGTTTCTTTGCTTTCGACTAATTATTTTTTTACTAATTAACAGTACGAGCCTGAAACATTATGTCCGTAAGCACGAACGAGAAACTTTGATCGCGATATTTTGTTTCATGGATTAATTAGTGAATAAATTTTCTGATCAAAACTTAAAAAAATTAAAAAAAAAAAAAAAATAGATTCGATAACACCCATAGATTCTATGTATATACAAACGTAAGAGTGCCCAACTATGTAACCACACCACGATTCGTGGTCGATGATATCGTGCAGAGTATTCGAACGTATGTATGTAACTTGCTTTGATATTTTTGATTCTAAACATATTATCTGTTGTATTTGCTTTCGTATTGACGCGTTCCCGCAACTTGCACGATTTCACGATTAATCTGACGATCTTCTATGATCCATGCGAAACTTTCCCTTCAGAAATCATTTTTTTCTTTAATGCAAAATTTTGAAGATTATAATATTGTTCCACTGAATTTTCTTTATGAAACTTTTTTTCAGAAATTCGCTCGGATCGTATAAAAGCACGTCATCCAAAGGAATAATGATTTGGACTTGGCCTACCTGGAAGCACAGAAGTTAGTATTTGTAGATCCCGCTACCAAACAGCAATCGACACTGCACCATTGTAACACGATATATACGTATGTTTTATATATATGTAGCACCAACTTGCGATTTCGCCCCTCTGCCAAATCACCAAAATTCACTCAGACTTTCCCTTTCTCATTCTCTCTCTCCCTCTCTCCCTCCATTATTCCTTCCTTGCTTCCCTCTCTCGAAACTTCCTCTCTTTCTCTCTCTTTTCTTTCTCCCCCTTCTCTCCCTTCCCCAATATATTAGAAGCCTTTTTGTGCGTGATCCTTGTATCAGATAAAAGAATGTTACGTCTTTTAGACTTTTTCTAGATTAATGCTTTTCTGATTTTCTCATTTCCCAAATTTGAAGTCTTCTAATGTATTAATCATGAATTTTGCATTAGTTTCGCATGGATTCGTGTCGCATCTAGGCATTTGTACAAAAACTTTGGGATATCACGAGGTGTCGGAAGAGAGTTCGCAAGGGAGCTCCTCAAAGTGAACAGAAGTTGAGGAAAAACGAGTCACGTAAGATGAAATAAAAGGAAAAAGGAAAGTAAGATTTAAAAAATTAGGAAAAAATGAATATTACAGAACAAGAGTAAATGAACCTAATCGTAGGCCAGTCGTAAATTAAATTACATTGTTAGATCTAATCACAAACTTGCCTTATGAGGCTATGTTAACGTCGACACAAAAATTATTACAGCCCTCCAAGGGCCATGACCGTCCATTGGAAATGGAAAACGAAAGATAGGGAATCGACCCAACGATCAGGGAAGATAAACATAAAGAAAAAAAGGCAAGAGAGAGAGAGAGAGAGAGAGAGAGCGGGAGAGACAGCAACAGAGCACAGAGAAATAGAGTAGATTAGAAGAGTGAAAGAGAGGAAAAACCTGTATGTGAACCAAAGGAAATAAAATATTAGAGAGAGAGAGAGGGAGGCAAAAGTTACGACACAGAAATCTCCAACTTGATCTGTAGACACCAAAGATACCTGCGAGCCCAGTGAAAAAAAATGTATAGAACGTAACAGGGTAACGGTGGTTGTAATTTTCACAGACATTCATAAGAACGAAAGCTCTCACGATGTCCTGAAGATCTCATGTTTCTCCATACGATGATCTTAGAACACACTAATGAAATTCACTCAGACCATGGGGGCGATGTTACCTTATCTTTATATCGAATCTTCTTGATCATTGTTTTAAAAAGTGGAAAAAATAATAAATTAAATTAAACACTAATATCTACGAAAATTACCACCACCAGGCGAGGTAATATAATCAGGGTAAGAGTCCACCAACCCGGCAAGCAAAAAGATATATATGTCCACAAGGCACATTTATTAAACATGATCGATTCACCATCGATATAATCGTCGATATACAGAAAAAAGTGTGTATACAAGGGGTAAAAAAAAGATCAGTATATAATCCTGTGTGTTTCGTGTGTCCTCTGTATATATATATGTGTGTGTGTGTGTTCCTGTCGTGCGTGTACTGTGTGATGTCGTGTTTGTTGCGTATGTGCATGTGTGCGTCCTACATCCCAGTATAGATAAAACGCAATCGGAAAAAGACGATCTTTCGTAACTCGGGTGGGGTTTGAGAAAAAAAAGAAAAAGTGTCGCACAGTAATGAACTCGTCCCATTTCTGTAACATCGCGGACAGTATGCGTGAAACTGGTACCGTGTCTAATTATTAATTAACTTTCGCCAGGACAATCACGATTAGCCGTGAAACCTTGTAGAGTGTTATGATAGAGTGATCTATTTTTCTCGATGATTCCGGATACTCTTGTTCTTGTGGTAAATCTCTAAATTTTAAAACATCAAAATTTGAATCACACTGAACATGTACCATATCATTTTGAATTATAGGACGAGATCATCGATTAATTAACCATAGTTCGTCCTAAAAAAAAATTTCGAGTGGAGCGAGAGTCTGATCATTGGTTCCACCTGAATAACCCCTAAGACAGTCTAAATGAATCATTAACATGAACGTGCCGCTTTTCTCTGTTTAGTCAGCCTTCGGATAATAGCGACAGACGTGACGGACTAACAATAATAGTAACTATTCACGACGATTAGTCAAGATGTAAACTTGCAAAGGGGTGGGGAGGACGACACACTGTCAGTTACCAGGTTAGCGAATCACAAAATACCAGAGACAACACATTCAACGCATAATGAGAGAGAAAAAAAATTATTATGCCACGGCCTTTGATGGTGACGAGCTTTGGAGTTAGTACGGGGAACGATAATAATAATAATAATCTAAAATAAAAATGCTACGTATTTTTCACACTCGTTCTCTCTCCCTTCTCCTTTCGCTCCCTCTCACACTCCCCCAACCTTGCTCTCCCCATTGGTACCCCGTAGATACGTGTATAATACGGCTCGTGTGAGTGCCCAGCGAAAGCTAATGGCAGGTAGTACACAATCGGACGACATTATGCATCAGTAGTATTAAGTGGCTCTATGATGTGGAGGAATGAATTGCTTTTTGTTGCGATGTATATAATAGGTGGCGATCGATTAAAGAAAAGACGAAACTTATTTTTGTTTGATGTCGTTAGAAGTGCCATTGCCGCTGTTGGACTTAATATAATCGTGTCATATATCAGTAAACCATTGGTAACTGGTTCATCACAGAGAAGCATTCTTATCCTCCCAGTTGCTTGTGGTCTATTGATGTATAACGTTGTCCATTTAATGCACGCATATCTCGTTCTTACGAGAAGGCGCATCTCACATACACCGTTACAGGCCGCAGTTATTGATAGTCGTAACTATTCAATATATCAAGTAGAGAAATCTCTACGAGTGTCGAGCGTGTTTAGAAGTTCTTACATATGTTCACACACATAAACAATTCCATAAACAATTCCGTAGGCAATTCTGCCATTAACAATAATATTTCAGGTTTGGAAAAAACTTGGAAACTTCTCAACACTCCCGACCGATACAAATATCATGATTACTTCTTTATTCGCGTTTTGAAAACACACCAAGATGCGCCCCCACGGTGGCGACACGAAGCGGAGATTGCGTAAATCTCGCAAGTCGAGGGATAACTCTAAAAATGAAACCAGGTTATATGGGTCCGTTTCGTGTCACCCCGGCGAAATCTAATCTCTAGGATGTCTATTAATGCTATATAAAAGCCGCATCAGGAAGCGTAATCCCGACATAAATAATATCGGCAGGCAATATCCCGATTCTCGAGTTACATCAGTAAGATTGGAATGCAAAATGTGCACGACTCGAGTACTAAAGTACGCATTGATCTCTTTTACAGTTGCGGCGTCTTCAACCTTTGACGAGCAAACAATTTTTGTCCGCATATGTATGTACTAGATTATACTTGTCGAAAGTCGCGCACACTTTACACTGCAATGTTGTAACGACAAAACAGGACTAGGTGTATACCAAAGGTACTACTCAATTCTATGTAATACGCTACCGTATCCTGTCAAACAAAGAGAGGCGTTGTGCGAGAATTATAGGATTACATGTAAAAGTACGAGAAAAACTGTTACAAGATGTATTATTGGATACTATGTGCATTATGGTCTGAGAAGGAATGCGAGAATTATGAAATGGGAAGGGGACAATAATGTTTTGGAAAGGGGAGAAAAAGACGACTAATATATAACGAATGTAATTACGCGTTAAGGAGAAAAAAAAAGAAAAAAAAAAGATAACTTGACACGTTACATAATTTTCTCGTCTCATGAACGATAGGTAACGAAGAAGGATATTACAGGTACTTGTATGCACGTCCCTCCACAAAACCACGACATGCAAACCAGTCATTTCTATGCCCGTGGACTTTATACTTTGGAACAATAAGAACGATCATTGTGTGCGTTTCGTGCCGTTTCCGTGGTTCATAGAATTCCATTCGTTACATCGCGCTCTACATATCTATATATGTATATATAAGTGCATATAAAAAAAAGTAAACAAAAAAAAAAGAAAAGGAGAAACATAGAGAAAACGTGGCAAGAAAAAACTGTTTAATCACTGGACAGCACTTCACGCTGCTCCGCGGTAACACCGAGATCGAGCATACAGAAAAACCATACAGAGAGTAGTAGTGAAGGACAAAAGGCTAAGCGAGCTTTGCGATCACGTGGTCTATTCTGAAAAAGCTCTTTTATAGGCAATGGCAGTAAAGATATCGATCGTTGTTCGTTCGACGAAATGAGCTTTCCACGTACGATCAATGTTAGCCCCTCGACACGCCTTTTCCTCCAGTTGTTTCATCAGCTACGGTATCACAAGAATGTTAGGCCGTAGAAGAATATCGAGAAAATGAACACTGCCGACACCAAGTTAAAAACATCACAAGCTGCGATGCTTAGGTAACAATATAACACGAAGATTCATTTCCTCTTTTTTAGTATTTTTTATGGAGAACATTGGTCTATTTAATCGGGATTAAATTATCATGCAGAATAGTATTTAGGCATTAGTTTAGTATTCCCTTTGGCCCCATTATCATCTTATGACATATGCCATATCTTGAGCAACGTCGTTCAAGCTATATTTAGTCTTGAAATGTAAATCTTATACGAGTTTTATCTAAAAACAAACCTAAAAAAGGAAACTGAAAAAAATGTTCAGCCTTGAAAAGAGGAAGAATGTTTTAAGATTAAGAGGAATACGTATGATGCCTATAACACTACTATATCATAGTATAAGTCATAATCTATCTAATTTATTTTCTTTGTCTTCGTGCTTTATATATCGTTTACCAAGCCCTTATAACGATTAAACTATCCAATCTATGAATGTACTTCCACTACCAGGGAACGTTCGCACAAAAGCGCAACGTGTCTGTGAACGTACTGTCTCGATTGGTTTTCCTGTTTCAAGCTCAAAGTGTCCTCTACGCGGCACAGAGAAAAGCAAAATTCTCTCAGGAATGTGGCGAGGGCTAGAAATGGATTTGTGTATCTTGTCGTGGGACTTTTATCGGTTACGTTGAATCGGTCGGCTCAGGAAGCTCACGCGCATTGCAGTTGCAATCGAAATGATTTTTTTTATGTGAAACTGCAGTGTAACTGCAGGCTCTTCCAATTTTTTCATCTTTTGATCACTTTTTGGACGTGCGTAAAGTAGATGCCGCGTAAAGAAGGAGCTACTCTTCGTAAATTAGAGCTTAAAAAACCGATAACATTGGATGGAATGTCCATTTACTTATTGCTAATAAAAATATTTCTAGCAAAATATATAAATCATTCTTATATATATATTT